TTAATGTGAAACACATCAATCAGAAATAATAAAGTCGGTTTTATGTACACAACATCACAGCATCATTGTACTGTTTCTTTCCCTTCAGCTGGTTTCTATCAGTGCAGATCATTATCACTGAATTTACTTCCTTTTAGTTATCCTATAGGGTAAAGTTACATTCATAAATACTTAATTCAATTCAATTTTCAATTCAATTTTTATTATGTATAGCGCCAATTCATAACAGAAGTTATCTCAGGACACTTTTCAAATACAGCAGGTCTAGACCGAACTCTTTAACAGTTAATTACAGAGACCCAACAGTACCACCATGAGCAAGCACTTGGCGACAGGGCAAGGAAAAACTGCCTGTTGAAAGGCAGAAACCTAGGACAGATCCTCCGGCTCTAGGTGGGTGGTCGTCTGTCTCGACCAGTTGGGGTGAGAGAGAGAGAGAGAGAGAGAGAGAGAGAGAGAGAGAGAGAGAGCGAGAGACAGACAGACAGACAGACAGGTGCACAGCAACAACAGTATTGGCAATGGCAGTCAAGCAGGACCATGGCAGGAGGCTCCACCAGGATCCATGAGAACCTGCGAGACGGAAAGCACAAGAACTCCGGGGAAGAAGTGGAGTTAGTAACATGCATTAAAGGGACATGAATGAGTGCAGAAAGAGAGAGGAAGAGAGGAGCTCAGTGCATCATGGGAAATCCCCGATAGTCTAGGCCTATAGCAGCATAACTAAGGGATGGTTCAGGACTCACCTGATCCAGCCCTAACTATAAGCTTTATCAAGAGGAATGTCTTAAGCCTACTCTTGAATGTGGTGAGGGTGTCTGCCTCCCGAACCACAACTGAAGCTGGTTCCACAGGGAGGAGCTTGGTAACTGAAGGCTCTGGCTCCTGTTCTACTTTTAGAGACTATAGGAACCACAAGTAGCCCAGCATTCAGAGAACGTAATGTTCTAGAGGGGTAATAGGGTACTATGAGCTCTTTAAGATATGAAGGGGCCTGACCATGAAGAGCTTTGTAAGTGAGGAGGAGGATTTTAAATTCAATTCTACATTTTATAGGGAGCCAATGCAGAAGCTAGTACAGGAGAGATGTGATCTCTTTTTCTAGTTCCTGTCAGTACTCGTGCTGCAGCGTTCTGAATTAATTGGAGCGTTTTAATGGACTTATTGGGGCAACCTGATAATAAAGAGTTGCAGTAATCCAGCCTTGAAGTAACAAATGCATGGATTAGTTTTTCTGCATCTGTCTCTGATAGGATGTGTCTAATTTTTCTAATATTACGTAAATGAAAGAAGGCAGTCCTAGAGGTCTGCTTTATGTGGGAGTTAAATGACAAATCCTGATCAAAGATAACTCCAAGATTCCTGACAGTGGTGCTAGAGGCCAAGTTAATGCCATCTAGAGTAACTATATCTTTAGACAATGAGTCTCTAAGGTTTTTGGGGCCAAGAACAAGAATTTTTTTTTCTGAGTTTAACATCAGAAAATTGCAGGTCATCCAGGATTTTATGTCCTTAAGACATGTTTGTAATTTAGATAATTGATTAATTTCATTGGGTTTGATTGATAGATATAACTGCGTATCATCTGCATAACAGTGAAAGTTAATGGAGTGATTCCTAATAATGTTACCTAAAGGGAGCATATATAAAGTAAATAGTATTGGTCCAAGTACAGAACCTTGTGGAACTCCATGACTAACTGTAGTATTTATTGAAGATTCATCGTTAACATGTACAAACTGCGAGCGATCTGATAAATATGACTTAAACCAGCTTAGTGCGGTTCCTTTAATGCCAATTTGATGCTCAAGTCTCTCTAAAGAATATTATGGTCAATGGTGTCAAATGCAGCACTAAGATCTAATAATACAAGTACAGAGACAAGTCCATTGTCGAAGCAATCAGAAGGTCATTATTAACTTTAACCAGAGCTGTCTCTGTGCTATGATGAACTCTAAATCCTGACTGAAAATCCTCAAATAAACTATTGTTATGTAGAAAGTCACACAACTCTTTGGCGACTACTTTCTCCAGAATCTTAGAGAGGAAGGGGAGGTTAGAGACTGGTCTATAGTTGGCTAAAACCCCTGGGTCAAGAGTGGACTTTTAAGAAGAGGTTTAATTACGGCTACTTTAAAGGACTGTGGTACATATCCTGATAATAAAGAAAGATTAATCATATCCAGTAAGAAGTGCCAATTAAGGGAACAACTTCTTTAAGCAGCCTAGTTGGGATCGGGTCTAATAGACAGGTTGATGCTTCGATGAAGAAATGATTGAAGTTAACTGATGAAGATCGATAGCAGAAAAACAGTCTAAATATATATCTAAGTTTACATTGACAGAAGTCCCTGAACTTGGAGAGCCACTGATAACTGTTGATGGCAGTTGGTGATTAATTTTCTCTCTAATAGTAATAATTTTATTATAGAAGAAGCTCATGAAGTCATTGCTACTTAAGTTTATGGGGATATGTGGCTCAATAGAGCTGTGACTCTCTGTCAGCCTGGCTACAGTGCTGAAGAGGAACCTAGGGTTATTCTTATTTTCTTCTATTAGTGCTGAGTAATAGGCTCCTCTGGCATTACGGAGGGCCTTTCTATAAATTTTAAGATTATCTTGCCAATTTGAGCGATATTCTGATAATTTGGAAGAGCGCCATTTCCTTTGAGATTTTTAGCTATTTGTTTTAACTGGCGGGTTTGGTGGTTATACCAAGGTGCTAAGTTACTAAGTTACAATTTTTATTATTTATTTTATTAATAATTATCTGTTTCAAGCATCAAGTCAATGCTACAGTTGATTTAACAGTACCTTGAATAAAATTAAGAAGATAACATAAATTATTCGAAATATTATATATATACAAACTTTTGTATATAAATATTTATATATAAGTTTTTATATATAAATATTTATATATTAGTTTATATATAAAAACATATTTTTAAACTAATATATATAAATATTTATATATAAAATAATATATAAAAATATTTGTATATAAATTAATATATATAAATATTTATATATAAATTAATATATATTTATATATTAATATTTATATATAAGTTTTTATATATAAATATTTATATATTATTTTATATATATAAACATGTAATTTTAAACTAATATATATAAATATTTATATATAAATTAATATATATTTATATATAAATATTTGTAAATATAAGTTTTTATATATAAATATTTGTATATAAATTAATATGTATTTATATATAAATATTTATATATTAGTTTATATATAAAAACATATTTTAAACTAATATAAAAATATTTATATGTATTTCTTTGTTTATATTTATAAATACAATATAATTATAATACAAATATTTATATATAAATGTAATTTTAGTACCGCTAATGTAACAAAACAGCTGAAGTTCCCGGGAAAATTATATTCCGCCAAAACAGCGTCGTGTTGAATCTCCCGCCACCGGCCTTCCGGATGCTTAAGAGTGACGCAACGTCCGCCTGGAACGTTCAGCCAATGAGCTTCGCGGAGGCTGCTCGTCGTCAGCCGGAGCGGACCAATCAGAGAGCAGCGGCGGGAAACACAGCTGATCGAGGAGGAGATTTCGCGCAAGTTTGAGCTCAGTGTGCGGAAGAAGACGGACCTTACAGAGGCGCAGGGAGGAATCAACGCAGAGAAAACACTTCACCGAGATCTAAGAAGATTCTTCCACGCTTCTATAAAGGTACATTAATCAATAACGAGTTATTTTAACTGTTTACAGGTGAAATATAAAGTTTATCGTAACCGGAAGAGAGTCCGTCTACTCCGGTCGGGTTGCTAGTTTGTCGTCTAAAATATCTCCATTAGCCTTTTTCTCACCTTATTTATCCACAGACTTTTACTGTATGATGATTTTCACGTTAACACGACGTGTTTTAGGTCAAACTTTATTTATATTAACGTCGATATTCACATATTTGTACGCAGACGTCACCGTTTGCTCGTCGGCCATTTGGCGCCATTTATCTGCCGCGCTGTTTTTGTTTGTTCTTTTTAATGTAAATAAAACTGTAATCTGAGGATGTAAACACTCTAACAAACGCCAGACACCTTACATTTACATCGTTTATTGACATTTTACAATTTTAGCCCGTTTAATAAACTTTAACATGAAGTTTTATTGACAACTACATTCAATTCAACTTTATTTAAACGTGGACTTTACATACAGGAGCAGCCACAATGTGTAAGGCCAGCTTTAGTTACCATAGAGGTTGTTTATTGATGTGTTGTAGAGAGTTTAATGTGGAAATAAAGCAGCTTTTATAAAGTTTTATTCTTAATAAAGTGAAAAAATACAAATACTGCTAATAAACACCAGTCCTCTTAAATCCACCAGCATTTAACACCATTTGTTATTTATGTGATCCTAAATCACGTCATTGGTTGTTTATTATAGTTTCAGAGGGCTTTATGATCTGGGGAATATTTGTTTTTCTACAGAAACAGAAGCACAAGAAGAGATATGGTCCCTCTAGGACTCCGTACTCCCACTAATAACGGATTATCTTTGCTTTTATGTTTCAGATTAAACACAAGATGCCCAGCACACGCTCCCAGGGCCGGCCTCAGCCCACGCTGGCGTTCCCTCGCCGCAAATCCTGCAGAGTTCCCGCTCGCTCCAAGACGCCACAGAGATCTCCGGCCCCGTCACCGAGCAAGCCCGAGCCCCAGAACCTCGACCAGAAGCTGACTCGGATCGGACCGCTCTCCCCGAGGTCCCCCGGCCTCCAGCCGCGACTTCCACTCAGCCCCCGGAAACGTACAGGTGAGACACTCCAGACAGGAAGACAGGTTTCTACCTGCAGCTCAATCAGCCAGTAAACAGCGTTGTTTATTCTTCTGTTGTAAGACAACGGTCCATTAAAGTCTAGAAAGTGGCTTAAAACCCGGGTGGTAGAGGACTATAGTTGTTTACAGTTCTGGCACAAATGGTTATTTTATATTTTATGTGATTTACTTT